GGACTCAGAACTATGAGTCACAATTCATTTATAATTCCTCACATAGAATCTCATCTAGTAATCTGACTTCCTATGTAATTTTACTATGGATGTTTCAGGGTAAGACTTTTTCTGCTGATTGGTTGTTCTTTAATTAGGACCAATTAGCAGAGTGCTTATATACCATCCACCTCATTGCTTTACATCTACCTTCTTTTTGAAAAAGTCAACTGACGAAACGCGTCAAAGAGGGCAGACGCTAGATTTGCACACGAGGGTTTTTAAAGTTTTGTTCCTGAGCTGCTTGTGCCGGCCGGATTTTTTTGCCTGTGTAAGTCACTATTTGTAATAAAGCTAAATGTTTTTGCACGCTACACTATGAGGGCTCTCTCCTTTTTTTATCTTTGAAATACTGCGAGACCACGGCAAGGAGTTTCGTTTGACACTGCGCCTGAGAAGATCCAGCTTTACTTCTCGGATACAGCCAGCGCTACAAGGGAGAAAAACCTACCACTCACCTTGCAGGGACTGAGAGTAAAAACAACTGGGTCCAAGCTTGAAAGCACGATTGCAGGCTCAAGTGTCACTAACAAAAAGCCTTTTGATCCAACTCCATCTGGTGAGTACCCACCCAAGGGGGCTGTCGGACCGCCGCCACGAAATACATACCACCATCAATATATATCATTAACAATTTTCTTTGTACACGTTTTTTACGTTTATTTTTCGTTGACCAATTTATTCCTATTTTTTGCACGGATCGTTTATATATTGTGACCTATTCGAGGTCTTTACACAGTGGTTGGAACTTTTTTATTGTCCCAATCATTTCTGTTTTTTTCACAGCACTATTGTATTATTAACTTTATTTTTATTTTTATTCATATATATTTTTTATGATTCTATGTAAGATATCACTTGTTTTAGGGCTAGACCCCCTAAACCTAAAATTTCATTATATCACTTGGTTATACTAAGTTTCTTATTTGTTACACCTTTAGCGCTTTGATATACATTTTTCTCGACTGCTGATAGGATTCTTCTATCCCCTTTTT